ACAATTTTTTTTTAAGATCTTTAGCTTAATGTAATTTAAGATAGAAGCCAGAGCGGTGTGAAAGGAACAAATCTCTGTCACACTGGTATCAAGACAAACAATGCCAAGAATAACCAAATAAAGGTGCCCATGAGGACATGTGCACTCTTGTCTTCTTTAGCTTTGTGCCAGACATCACTGGGTGTTCCTCTGTCATCTGCATCTTCAAGTACTTTCTTCCCAGCCTCCACCCTGTTAGCCCTCTCTCTGTTTTGTTTAGTTTCTGTTTCTATTGTTCTTTTTCAATTTTTGCTCCTCTGGATTTTGTTCACAAGGCAGAAGGAGTACTGTAACATCTCAAGACTGCCTCAACCACTTTTCTTTCCCCTCAGAGGTACGATTATTGTCTTCAACACTGACCTCACAGCTGCTGAGGTTTTGCCTGTTCTGCAGACCCTTCCTTCCTTAATGCATATACACTGGACTTGAGGAATTTTTGCTGAAATTACTGTATTTCCTTGCTTATGCTTTAATGCCTGATTGGTTCTGCTCCAAATAGGTTTAGAGGAAAATAGCCCATGAGGAAAACTCACAGGTATAACAAAGGATCCCACCTGGGAAAAAAAATGACAGTTGCTACTAACGTGCCTATAATTTAAAAGGAATCTAGGCCCTTCACTTTGTTGTCCCACTTTACCAACCTCAGCTTATCAGTTAAATCAGAATACCTTATTTTCTGAAGCAATAGCCCCACTCCTTCATCTCCAACACAACCTGAAATTAGGCTGCAAACATTACACACATCTATTTTTAACTACCTATCTACTGCTTCAATGTGGGGGTGTCCTGTATACAGGGACAGGGCAAGTATAGGAGCAACTATGGAAAACTGTTACATGCTCAGACATATCTGATAAGGTTAATCTCTCTATTAACAAAGTCCCTTAGCAGAGAGGCAGCTCATCTGGGGAAAAAGTAAGATTTTTGCTAGCATAATCAAAGCACCTCAAATGAAGTAAGCTGTATCATAAAAAAGAACTCCTTTGCCAACACAAACTGCATCTCCATAATGCATGGAAAGGTGCATGTGTAGCTCTGAAAGCCAGGGCTGTGATTTTTTTCCCCTCACAGTCTTGATCACTATAGCCACACTTGTAATAATGTGTTGTGTGGAGCTGGCCTTAATTTGTCATTTTCTTGCAAAACACAGAAATATTAATACTTTGATGTACAATAAACACATCTAGCATTATAATCGATGCTATCTGAATTATAATAACAATGTATTTGTGAACCATTCCACCAGCACACAGGGTGATAAGAAATTGATCATCCATCCACTGAGCAATGTAATTTGTTTGTTTCTCATTTAGTTGAAAATAAGTTTGACTTTATATTCAAACCGTTGTGGTAATAGCTGTTGCAAGTACGTTTAACAGTGAAATCTACACTTCATGCCTGAAATTGTTTCTGAAATATAAAAATACAATTACCTTTTTTTTGCTGTTGCAATGCAGGTTATGTGACTGAGCACAGAACTCTGGTCCAATTAAAACCATCTCCAGATTCTTCATGAAAAGTATGTTTCAACCCAAACAAACAAACAAAACATCAAAGATCCTCTTAGTATGTACCTTTTCCTGGAAGCACAAAACATGGAAATTACTGAATCCAAGAATGGATACATACTCCATCGTATAATGATGCATGTTTGGCAGTGACTAAAGAAATTATTTCCTGCAGAGATCTACACCAAAGAAGTACAATATTCCTTGAAAAAACGTATTAACCTTAAGTTAGTTGCCTTCACCAGGGCAATCCTTAACATGGCAGAAGACAGTCAACACATACACTTTCAGTACTAGTTCAGTCAAAAAGAAATTCAAAAGTATAATATGCCTGGCTCCACACCTGCAGTAAGAAACCAGCCAATGGAGGCTAGAGAGACTGTCTAATCTGGTTAGTCCTGCTTGTGGGCTACTCTTCCACATCTCTCACCCCACCCTCTTGCTGCAACTTATTTTGTACCCCTCCAGTTTTCCTTCCCCACATAGCCTGGATTTTTTTTCTCTCTTTTTATTCCTTCAGCTGTTTCTTCAACAACCTACCCAAAGGACCAAGCCCTGCATCTTACTCTGCCTCCTTTTTGCCCTTAGTGATACTTGCCACACCTCCACCTCTCCATCCACACTCTCTTGAGATTTTACTATTGCTCAATCAGCCCTTCTTGCATTCCAATCCTTTCTGCCCATTCCAATGACCTTTCTTCTCTTCTTTGGCTGCCACTACAGGATACACTTCAAATATTTCTTACAGGCCTATTAAATCTCAGTGTCCACACATCCTGGATCCCCTTGTCTGCTCTCCATCTGCAGCTTCAGTCTCTTACAGAAACCTCAATTTCTCATCTCATTCCACTCCCTACTCTCACACCGGGGCTGCCGTCACCATCTCAAACACTTTTTATCTGCTTCTGGGCAATATCTCAGCTCTCCCAACTGAAGTATTGCCAGCCAGACACCCAGCTCCTCCTCATCAGCTTTCCTTCATGATTTCAACTCTCTTCCTGTCCTCACAATTTCGCATAATCATTCTCATGAAGCTTCTGAGCTTCATGCTGATGTTCTTGCTGAAACACTGTAGTAGACACCCATGTGTCTCCTTGCCCTGATCCATTCATTTCACCTGTACCCCTCACTGTTCTACTCCTTGAAAGAGCCATTCCTTTGATGTGATCTGCAGCAACCATTGATTGCTTTACTCCTGATTTCTGTCATTCCACCCTTCCTCTCTGACCTGCTTCCTCACTTGGCATGTCCTCTCATTTGCTCTTTCCATTATTTTCATCTTGCCAGACTGATAAAACCCCACCTAATCTCAGCCTTCTTTCTCCTGCTTCATCTTTCTTCTCTTTCCCATATTTGATTGTACATTCTGTTTCTTCCTCTACAGTCCTATCTCATGAATTACAAAGTTTGGTTGCCAAACACACACCTCCAGTCTGATTTCAGCTTCAATTTCCTAGTCCGCCTGTGATCAGGTTTACTTCATTCTCAACCATTTAATTGTCTCCCAGTGATGTCATCCTCTTAATTTTGCCTCATACTTTTCTACGTTATCTGAAAACCTGGCTGCCTTTCACCACTATTAATGCACTTCTCAAATACTCTCTTCCTGAACATCTTCTGTACAAATCCTTGCCAAAGGAAATACTAATGTGGTACACTCTTGCAAGTCTATTCCTTATTTTACATGTTGAATATTTTTTCTTTCCTACTTTTACAGCCCATGTTTGTCCTGCTACAACCTAACTTCTGATCTGTTTCATATCTATCTTCATCCACTTCCTCAATTTTTTTTCTGAAATTTTGACCCTCCTCCAACTCCTTGTCCTCACACTACAGACACGCTCTAATAAAAACATACCCTATGTTGACTCCTGCTGCTATTTTCAGCACTAATGCTTCCCTCCTCAATGTGCTGCTCAGACTTACTGTTCAGATTTCCTCTTCTCCAGCTCAGTGAGAAATCCTAAGCCAGCAATACCTTAAGGTCACAGCAATAACCAGCTAAAACTATCCTTATATATTCACTTCATTCTTGTTGATCATCTTTGACACTACCAACCCTGGTATTTCTCCTCAACTCCCATCCTCATTTAACCTCTTTGGGCTCTCTTACTCTCCTCCTCCTGACCACAAACATAAATCAACCTTACACAAGGAGAATTTACTTCACCCATACAAATATTTCCTGAAAAAAAAACCAAACTCCACACTTCTTAGCATCTTGCCAACACACTGTCTACGCTGGGAGTCAGGACGGTCTGACCGGTTCCTTGTGCTCCCCCTTGTGTCTGCTGTCAGACTGAAGCTGCTGACTTTTGAGAAAAAGCGTTATTAGTGTCTGGCCAAGCCTCCACATTCAGGTTCCCGTGTCCTGGAAATGCAAATACACAATGGTGCACACTACTTTGTAAAAGCTGATCTCCTGTAGTGTTTCAAACTGGCTATTCACACATTAAAGCACAATGCAGTCAGTCACTAATCTCTCTTGAAACTGTAGATTGAGGTTATTATTTTTAGCTCACGATTTTTAGGAACAAATTCCAGTGTCTTCATGCTATGTCAGCAGCACAGAGCACCCACAAACTCAGCCTAGAAAGCCAGCTATTCCTTCACATGCTGCACAGTTCTAAGGGAAATGAGGCTTAAAAGCTGGCTTTCAATAATACAGAAAGCTTGCATTTTCAGAACTGTTTTAACAATTTCTCTATGAAAGTATTAGTAACTATTCAGGATACAGACCACCAAAGACCAGTGAACTGTATGAAAAGACCAAGTTCCTTTCACCCTTTTTTTAATGCCATTTTCACCTAGTGGAAATACTAATCCTCAAAGTCTGGTGGCATTAGCAGTAAGTTCCTTACAGGATACATGTGAACTCCTACAGTAGCTAGCATAAGAAGCCTCACTGTCATACTTAGGAATGATTCAAAACAGGCATTTGGAGCAAAAATCTAATAAACGAAGAATAACCCTCAGAGTAGCAAACCTATGGTTTGGTCTAGCCCTGCTTCTGTTAAAACTGGAAGCTGAGTATCTCTTGGAAAAAGACATCTGGACTCAGGGGAGGAAGATGCAGAAGCAGCAAAAGAGGTTATTCACTTTCTGTGCACTGCTTTCTTTAAATACTGGCAGTCATCGGTAAATAGTGCTGCAGAAACACATATTAAACCAAAACGCCTCTGTGGAGAGGGATGATGATGTGCAACAATAAGTAATGAAACCTAACTGGAATTCTAATGATAAAGACTTTATTAAAATGTCATTTTAAAAAAGCAATTTAAATGAGCTTAGGAAAAAAAAACACAAAAAAGGCAATTTAAACCAAAGATGGTGGGGAAGGGGCAGGCAAAAGATCCTTTCAGGCTAGACCCCCTCCCCACAGTCTCACTCCAGGCCCCCCACTCCGCTCCTTCCCAGTAGCATCCCACTGCCACCTTCCTATCTCTCACTCACCATACACCAGTCAGTATGGCACTGGCTGACACCTGAGTGCACACAATGAAGAGATCTGATCAGTCTGGACAGTCAGGCAGCAACTGTGAGCACCACCGTTCAATGGGTCTGTATGAAGCCAGCAGCAGCAGCCCCGAAACGCTGAAGAGATATTTACTTTCCTGTGAAAAGAGGAGACACCAAACCTGAGTGAAATATGAGGAAGAAAAAGGAGAGGCTGGGGTACCAGGCAGCTACATACTTTAAATAATATTTCCCTCAACTCGCAGTCTAATTCCAGGGATCCCCTATGCTTCCTGATTGCAGTTGCTTTCGGTCCTTCCTCGGGGAAAAAGTCTTTTCGGGGGGGTTCTCTTCCCCTTCCTTAAAAGCTGTGTATAGGCTCTATTTACTCAGGATGGCCAGGATGCAAAGGGTGCTCCTGGAAGTTATAGTTGTCATCCACTTCCCAGAGCTGAGGTTCATGAGAAAAGACCTCTACCTCAACAGACCTAAGAGAAGCAGAGGCCAAGAGAGGTAGGGGATCAAATTTACACCCTCATTGACTTGTGCTAACAAACACGTCAGTGAAAAGAGATTTGCTGTCCCGAAAAGAATGTCTCTTCATGGAATGGTCAGTCTTTTAACACCTATCTCCATTATTGATACCATATTACTAAATCAAAGCAGACACCATTGCCCGATAAATTCCTCAGTATATCACTGTCCTGGAGGCACATCTTAATGCCTTTTTATGGCAAACTTCAATTGATCTACAACTTGCTGCACTGGCTTTCACGTAATTATTGACACAACAAATCATAAGCTCTTGCTTTCTTATGGGAGTCAGCAAGAAAGAACAGGTAAGAAACACAGCAACTCATGAGGGAGCTGTGTAGTCTTCATTTGAGACTCAAATGTGTCCCTAAGACACTGAATGAAGGCAGGGTTTCACTACTGCCTTTACTCTGCTTTCACTCCTAGTGCAGGTCAAGCAACTTAACTGTACTTGGGCAAGTTCTTCGAGTCCCTTCCGCTTCTTTCTTCCTGCAGAGGGGACTGACAGGGACTCTTGTGAGGCTCTGGCCTTGCACAGTTGAAATGAAGGTACAACACAGGAGGGCACATTGTCTCTTCTTTGGGAAACCCAAGTCCTGCAGCACGCCTGGGTTACCAACGAACACAGCACCACTGCAGCACCTTCCAAGTTGACCATTATGGCAGGGCACAGCATTCCCACTGGGGTGCCTGCCAGCACAAATGTCCCCATCACCCTTGATGGTGTGAATCCATGCACGCGAAGTTAAGGCTCAAAGCACTCCCTCTTCAACAAGTTGCCTGGTTGCTGCACCCAGACCTCTTCTGGGGAAGCTTTCAGGCTCTGGCACCAGCCTCCAGCCTGCACAAAACAGCTAACATTGCCCGAGGTACTGTTGCCAGCTTCCTTCATCCCCTCCTGTGCCTCCCGGGAGCTATTAATACAGCAGGCACATGTTCTGACATTGCGTTCCCCGGCAGATAACTTTAATTTGCCCTTTAAACGTCCCGAGACCAGCGGCCCTCGCGCTCCCTCCTCAGGGGAACATGGCGCTGCTGCCCCGCGCCCCTTCAATGGGGGCGGGCTCGAGGGGGTCTCAGCCAATGCCCACGCCTCGGTGGCAGCCTCCTCCTATCGCGAGAGTCCGCGGCGTATAAGAGGGAAGGTGCGGGGCGGGGTGCCATTTGGCGGGCCGTGCGCGGGGGCAGCCGGGTGGGGAGGTTCGCGGCTCGTTGGTTGTCTCCGGGCAGGGGGTGTCGGACCCGCTGCCAGCATGGGTGACCAAGCTGTCAGCTTCCTTAAGGACTTTCTGGCCGGTGGGATCGCTGCCGCCATCTCTAAGACGGCTGTCGCCCCCATCGAGAGAGTGAAGCTGCTGCTGCAGGTGAGGGGGTGCGGGGAGCCGCGGGGCTGTGGTACAGGTGGATGCCGGAGAAGCGGGCGGCTGCCAGCGTGACTAAATAAGGGCAGGAGCTCGGCCGGCTCCGGTTACGCGGGAGCTGCCCTTCAGCACCGCGCCGGGGCGCTGGGAGCTGGGCCAGCGGCGGGGCAGGCCCGGTCGCTGCCCTTCACGGGGTCGCCGTGCGGAGTCGCGCCTGCAGTGTCCCTTTCTCTACCCTCCCACCCGTCCCCTTCCTCCCTTCAGGTCCAGCATGCCAGCAAGCAGATCACGGCGGACAAGCAGTACAAGGGCATCATCGACTGCGTAGTCCGCATCCCCAAGGAGCAAGGCATCCTCTCCTTCTGGAGAGGCAACCTAGCCAACGTGATCCGGTACTTCCCCACCCAGGCCCTCAACTTCGCCTTCAAGGACAAGTACAAGCAGATCTTCCTGGGGGGAGTGGACAGGCACAAGCAGTTCTGGCGCTACTTTGCCGGGAACCTGGCATCTGGGGGTGCTGCTGGAGCCACTTCCCTCTGCTTCGTCTACCCGCTGGATTTTGCCAGGACCCGGCTGGCAGCTGATGTGGGCAAAGGAGCCAGTGAGAGGGAGTTCACTGGGCTGGGCAACTGCATTGTCAAGATCTTCAGGTCTGATGGCTTGAAGGGCCTGTACCAAGGATTCAGTGTGTCTGTCCAGGGCATCATCATCTACAGAGCAGCCTATTTTGGGGTTTACGACACGGCAAAGGGTAAGAAGTGCATGGAGAAGTGACTACAAGGGAAGACCTGTCCGGTAAATGAATTCTGGGGCACTTGGCAGTACAAGAACAAGCCAGGCTTGGCTCAGCACCAGTTCAGGGTGCTAGTGCTAGATTACGCACAAGTGTTCCTGAAATGCATTCCTGACTCCTTTAACTTGCTATTCTGAGCAGAAGCTTTGGGTTGGCAGTCTCTGTTCAGACACTTTACAGTTTTTCTCTGTCTTAAGGCTTGTACAGATGGGCTTGTATGATAGCTTGTTCCTCATGACACAAGCCTGGGAGGGTTCTGCAGGAGAGACCTTTTGGTCAGGGAGCATGAAGGCAGCTTAGATCCCAACATCCAACAGTCCTATAAACTTGCAGTTAGCTGATAATAGTCAAATATGGATGGAGAAGTTTCATGCTTGATTATGTTGACTTGATTGACTCCTGGTGTTGGTGGTGGTTGTTTCTTTCACAGCCATCTTCCCCACAACCTTTTCCCTCTGTACTGACTCTTGTCATTTGTTCTTGATGACAGGTATGTTGCCTGATCCAAAGAACGTGCATATTGTAGTGAGCTGGATGATTGCCCAGACTGTCACTGCAGTATCAGGTCTGGTTTCTTACCCTTTTGATACTGTGCGACGTAGGATGATGATGCAGTCTGGCCGAAAGGGAGGTAAGAATAAGTGCTATGGTGGTCCGGCAGCAGAAAGCATCTCTTCATCAAGATGTGGGGGGAGATGCTGGGTGGGTTTTGTATTATGCAAAACTAATGACTTCTTATTAGAATCCTTAAAAAAACAAAAAAATACAGGAAATACATTGGTAGTATTTCTGCCTTTTCCACTTAAAAGGCTGAGACTGATTTGATTTCCGCATGGAGAATTACTTCTCATTAATTGATTATTTGATTTTTAAGTTCTTGGCTTATTCCTTGTTTTAAATATATGAAAGTTGAAACAGAAATGCTGTATAACTTCAAGTCTTCTGACCTTTATGTCTTTTTCCACAGCTGATATTATGTACAAGGGCACAATTGATTGCTGGAGGAAGATAGCTAAAGATGAAGGAACCAAAGCGTTCTTCAAAGGTGCCTGGTCGAATGTGTTGAGAGGCATGGGAGGAGCTTTTGTACTAGTACTTTATGATGAAATCAAGAAATATGTCTAAAACTCGCCATAATATAGTTCAATTGTTCTCAATCAACTTTTTCAAAAGAATATGCTATTGTGATATAATGGACAACAAAATTATTTCCTAGGGAAACAACGTTTGAATAACATCTGACTGAGACCAGGATGCATAAATTTAAAAATTGTCCACTACATCACAGTTCCATTTTTGTATGAAAATTTCTCCAACATTTGTATTGGAACCTGTGTATATATTATACTTCAAATTTGAGGTAATATATTTTGTCTAGAGCCAAGACATAGGTGGTCTCTACCTAGTTTAAAATGTAATATTGTGGAGATTTAGGAGAATGACATCTTTGGAAATACCTGTTGTACTAAGTGATGCCTCTAGCTAATCCAACAGTGTGATGACATAGCATGAATTAAAATGTTTCCTTAAGATGTATTTTTTTAATACATATTAAATGAAAAACATGTCTAAAAATATAAACTATATTAAAGCACCAGGCTGAGTTCCTAACTCCAGCCTCTTCACAGACAAATTATGCAGTCATATGTCTGAAACCATAACCTTATTTTACAAACATACTTTGTAGAATGTGGAAATAACATTTAAAGAATTCCCTGGATTGTCACTAAGCAAAAAGTTGTCTGCTGATGTGCAATTGAACTAAATCTGAAACAACAAAATAAATTAATATATTCATGAACTTCTTCCTGTTTTTTCAATACACTGAGTACATACATGTGTCCTTAAAGGCAATTTGCTGATTGGCACAACTTAGTGATTATCTGGCACTGCCTAAGCCTCTTCAGCTTTTTTCACAGAACTTTAGTTTTGCTATTGTAGAAATATCAACAATCATTTCACACCTACTTAAGTGCACTGGCAGGGATGCCATAGTTACTGGACAGTCTCAGCTGGAGAGTATCATTAGCCAATAGGGCATGTCAGGGGAAAAAGAATCATGCCCCAGCCAGTGTCTCTTAGCCACCTGTGTGTTCCCATTGTGAAGTTCTTGCTTTTAACCAATTTAAATGTCTTGACAGCATATTCTAGTCCTAAGAACCAAACTCTGACCGCATATAATACAGTGGAGAGAGCTATGATTGCTGTACACAATCAAGAGGCAAGAACAAAAATCATAGCATTTTAGGACTCCAGTGAGAAACACAGGTAGTTCTGAAACCAGAAGTGACAGCTTACAAGTATCAAAGTTGCCAAATCCTGTCTCTTCTTGGCCAGGAGGAATCGCCAAGAGATGTACAGCAGTTCTCTTGACCAAGGTATGAGTACCATGCATCCTGAATTCTAAACCTCATCTGTATCACACGCATTAGTGATTCCTGCTGATACCTGAAACAGTATGATCTCAACGTGTCCTGGGTTCAGCAGTAGCAGTCATTTTTCTTAGTAGCTGGTGCAATGCTGTGTTTTTGACTTTCAGCCTGGGAACAGTGCTGATAACACTGATGTTTTTAGTTGCTGCTTGGTAATGTTTACTCTGACCAAGGACTTTCCAAGTCTCATGCTCTGCCAGGGAGGAAGGGAAGTTGGGGGGGAAGCAGGGACAGGACACCTGCACCAAACTAACCAAAGAGGTATTCCATACCACTATATAAACTGGGGGCAGTTACCTGGAAGGGTTAGATCACTGCTCAGGTTGGGCTGGGTATCGGTCAGCTGGTGGTGAGTAGTTGTATTTTCTTCCCTTGTTATCTCCCTTATCATTATTATTATTGGTGGTAGCAGTAGTGATTTGTGTTATACCTTAGTTACTGGACTGTTCTTATCTCAACCCGTGGGAGTTACATTCTTTTGATTCTCCTATCCTGGGGGGGGGGGGAGGAAAGGGAGGGTGAGTGAGTGAGTGAGTGAGCGGCTGCGTGGCTGAGCTGCTGGCTGAGCTTAAACCATGACACAACATAATTGCAGTCCTGAAAGATGGCTCCAGCTGCAGTCTGTAGTTTCACATTCATCAGGTAGGAATCTCATGGTTCATCTGCCACTTTGCTCAAGACTTTGAGCAAGTAAACACCATGAAGATTACACCTGATGCTTGGTGTACCTGGCATGTAAGATATACCACTTTGAGGCAGAAGCAACCTCTCCTCCCCTTCTATTTCCTTGTGGATATATATTACAGTGGAAGTACTCATCATAGCCTGCATATGACGGTGATGACTACATGGCTTGGAAGGTTTCATGACAATGAGGAAAATACATTACAATGTAAAGCCTATATGCATCACAGAAGACACATGAATTCAGCCAGCCATTTGATTTAGGGCAATCAGACACTCATCTGAGTGACAGGATGCCAGCAGAGATGCCTCAGGATCTTCAGTAAAGACTGCAAGCATTCTGACTGAAGGCATGCTCTGGCACAGGGAAAGGCCACAACGGAAATCCTGTATGTTCCAAAGGAGCAGACAGGGAAATACCATTTCTTCCTCCTCTCATACAGTTACTGATCTGAGGCAGGGCTTTCTTCAAGACCTTCAGTAGGGTAGATAGACTACATAGCAGAACCTTGTCCTGGCAGAAATGTAGCCCACAATGAGGCAGAAACACTGCTTGAGCAAAGACATGACAGAGGCATCACACTCCATTTCCCATAGTAGTCAGCTCAATGCACCAGTACTATTACCCAAACTGGCAATCCTGTCACTTCAGCAGGGAGACTGGCTCCTACCTGAAACCATGTGTCAAACCTGTGTGCCAGTTCACTTTCAGGAGGAGCAAAGCAGCTTGCACTTTTCTTTCACAGAGATCTTTGGGGGCAGGAAGAAAAGAACATAAAGAAGAACCTTACAAAAAGGGCAGAAAAGTCTGTTAGAAACAGGACATTTTGCTATAAAAATTTCTATGAGATTATCTAACTTAATGAAGACCTGTCAATATGGCTTATTTTTAAAAAGCCATACAAAAGTCACTAACTGATAAAGTGTATCAATGAATAAACAGACTCTTTGCATTTTCTTCCCCTAGATGTAGTACCAAACACTTCTCCTGTGACCTCCTTCACACTTCAGTACCTATTATAAAATTCTGAAAGAAGCACTGCAGTGACAAACAATTCATGTTAAATATTTTATTTCTTATGATATACAAAAATCACATATAAAATTGACAGTCTTTCATACCAAAGTTAAATAAAATAAAATTAAGCAATTAAAAGTAATCCATCTGGTCAATTCGATCACAGAAAAACATTACCATATGAACATTCAAAAGTATTGAACTGTGAGCCTAATATTCACATTAAAGGACTAAAATATTTAAATAGTGAGTAATTTTAATGAGCACAATAGTACAAATAAATACATCAGCACTATGCAAAAAAAATTCCTTACAGTCCCTATCAATGAATAATAATGGCAATAAAAACCTGTCTGCCATAACGCTGCTTAAAGTTCAAATACTGTCAAACAGCTGCATTTGATCTGCAGGTCATCAAGTGCAGAAGCTCTGCCAAACTATCACACAGGACCAAAGAAAATGTTTGTTACAAGGCAGAATACCTGAAAGCCTATGCCCTCATGCAAGCACGAGCAAAGAATAATAAACTTTCCTTTTCACAGGGCTAAGACCCAGCATTACTAAACACAGCTGGGTTTGGTTTTTCCCTTTATGCACAACACAGAGAGATTTCCTGTTACCTCTCCTGGGAAGAAGCTGGGGAAACAAGCAAGGTTCCAGCAACATCCATGGATAGTGACATCACAATTTATGCTTTTTATAAAACTACAGTCCTACAAAAGAAGCTCACTGAAAGTCTGCCTTTATGCATAGAAATAAAGCATACCATCTACTATTTGCAATTACTGATTTCACTAGATTTTGCTCCCCTTGTAAACAGATGTTGCAACTGAAGCTTATCTGACATTACAAGTATTTGGTATGAACATGAAGTTAAAACACAGTTTAAGAGCATAACAAGGTTTTCTGTTTTCTGCTTTTATTTATTTTTAAATCCTGGTTAATAGTTCCTCTCAAAATCAGATGTTCATGTTGCCTGCAGCTCAAGTTTGCATTTCCCCACCAAGAATGGCAAGGATCTTCAAAAGTATGGCCATGAAATATTTCCCTTGCTTAGTATTTTCTAGCTTGCAAAGTAACTAAAACTTACTCTTGTTTAGAATGAATCTGAACTATTGTTCACTTCAGTCTTTGCTCTTGTTCAAGTAGCATCAGATGCTTCTTTCCTATATGAAGGTTCCAAAATTCTTTTAAATCTGGAAGAGACACAGCCTTGGATACAAAACAAACATTCAACACCTGAAGTGCAAGAGTGGCAGAACATCTTCTGCAGTCTTAATATTCTAGCTAACCATGCAGGAATACACAATCTGCTTTTCACCCCTTCATACTGCTGTAAAGAGAAGATTCCTTCAGTCACAAGAACATGACCACAAAGCTCAGAAGGCTTACCTAAAGCCAGGATGAAATGCAAGGAACTAAGGACAATCCAGGAATTAAGCATATGAGTTTAATGCAATGTTTTAAAGTATTATTAAAGGTTTTCTTTACATCTTGTGCCTGTAGTGCAGCAATGCTGTCCTTCCATGTTACAGATACAAATGCCACTTATGATCTGAGAATAACATAGTAATTAGCATTTTCTATTTAACTTGACCATTTAAATACCTCTTTCTCTTTCATAAGTTTTTCCTGTCAGGAACACACCTACTGAAGTGAAAGTGTTCACTTAAAACCATTTTATAAGCAATTATATCATACGCAATGCATTTTAATCACTCAACAATGCAAAAAATATTTTTGCCCATGGAATTTACAAAAGCACTAAAACATAAAAGGCCGAGTATCATCTCAGAATGCGAGGCAAAGAACGCATTTATAACCAAGCGGCACGAACAGTAGTGGGTTTAGGTCTCTGTAATGCCCCACTGGCTGAATCAGGTATGGGTTTTTCATTCCTCTGGCTCATTGTACTTGGTACAGCGGATGCTCTTGAATAGGATGCTCCTGTTAACACACACACACATGCACGCACAAAGAGAGTGAGAATGCTTATGCTCAGTAAAACAGAAAATGTCATGCTATATTAGTACTGCAACACTCATTACCATAGTTTCCAGAGGAAAAAAAAAAAAAATCTGGAAACACCAACAAATCACAGTAAGTTGAATACAAACCCAAAACATTATGAGCTGTTCAAAATGCTCAGGACAAGGAATACAAGCCCATGCCCTAGTGCTGTGCTTCTTTAACCTGATGTGTATGGCCCTATGGGGACGCATGATCTACTTCCAAATATTACACACACAATTTCTGAGAGAAACAGTAGATTCACTGAATGAGAATTTGAATCTTCTTTGGGGTTTTTGTGTTGGGGTTTTTCTTTTCCCCCTTGTGTTCTCCTCTCGATAAAGGCTATTGGCAAAATGAGACCTTCTTGGAAAAGACTATTAACGAGGTAATTTCTTAGAAATTTAATATAGTAAGTAAACGATGCATATGGTCATCATACTTTTGGTATGGCTAAAAAAATTCATGTTAAAAGATTTTTGTGTGATAAACGATCAGTCTAAGGAAGAGAAAAGAACTTATCTGCTATTCCTAGCAGTAAGTGCTTCACAATTCTGAATTATAAAAAGATAGACACATGCAAAGAAATGCAAGAATCTGCAACTTCCATGTACTTACTTAAAGGACTAAGATGGCTCAAAGCAGATTTTCCTCTTCTTACAGAAGGCGAAGAACCTATGTAACTCATCTGGCGCTGATAGTCCAGCAGTTGTTCATTACGCCTCATACCAGGTGTTGGTTTCACTGATTCCAGTCTTTTCAGGAGTGCCTTAGTATCAAAGAAAAATATCATCAAGAAAGAGAAAGAATGAATAAGAAGCCACAAAAACAAACATTCACAAATAGATTTTTATGTGAACTGCAATAAATCCCTTGATTTTTAGAACTGTACAACATGAACTCCTCCACTGGGATGATCATGGGCTATTCTTGCATTCAATTCTTTTCTCAGTATTATGACACAAATAGTAACTATCCCTTACATATTAATTCTATGTTGAGCACATCTTTAGTACCCTGTAGTTCTTTCTACTTTACTGTAACTTGAAACACATCTGTTTGGCAGTAGTAAAAGTGGTGGGAAGACAGGCTGAACTCTTCTAATCCCACCTTTGGTTACTCCTCTCCTCTAAACTTCCAGAAGGACAAGAACTTGGTGGCTTTTGGGCGTTTCTTTTTTTTAACAAATCTTTGCTTTGCAAACCTAGTTAGACCATTTTATATTGCCCTAGATCCCCAGAGAAAATTACTGACACAATTCTGTGAAAGTAATGTCAAAAGGAAAGCAGATTCACATGACACTATTTTATCCACAATGTAATTCTAAGGGTTGAAAATCAGTTGAAATTATTGTTATAGACATCCTTTCTTCTTGTTAAAATTAACCCTTGCAATCATGCAGTAGCATTAGATTAGAACTGCTATGACACAGTATTTGTAAAATAGTCTCCCAATCTGCATAACTACATCTACTTGAAAGAGGATTTACTGGTTTTAGAATTTACATAATTAAAAAAAAAAAAAAAACCAAAAAAAAACCAACCCTACCAAACCAAACCACAACACAAAAAACCCACCCCTAAACTGATGTCAGGACAAATCTGAAAGTACCCAGCTACATACAACTTCACACATATTTTGCCTCCAGTAATTGCCTCACATAAATCTACACTTCAGTTTGTTTGATGGCCTTCAAACATTTGGCAATGACACAATCATTCCTGTTCAAGGTTATGACGTGCATCCTACCAAATGTGGACAACGCAAACTGTGATTAAATAAGTCTCCAAGGTACTTAAAATAACTCTGTTAATAAGGATGTATGGTCTAGATGCATACTCATATGGCAGAAATAAAGAATCTGTCTGTATAGCCATTAAACTGCACTTTGTATGATCATTCTTCCCCACTCCCGATCTGTGGTTTGTTTTTATTCTTAGAATAAAAAAATAACAGAAAGTGACTTAGAATATAGTATAATATTCACAGGATGTCACTGTCCAGCTGTAATAGGAATCTACAAACTCTTGGTAGTTTATGCATGGGCACTGAGAAAGGACAAGTGATTCTGGCTTAGACAAAGTATGTCACAAGTGCTTGTACCAAGTGCCAGTCAGTTCATCATCAAGTGGAAACACCGAAGTAAGCAAAAGTCAAAGGAAGGACTTCAGCTAGAAATAGCTCTTCACTAAAGCCAGCTGCGTAACATTAAATGGTAGACTTGGCTCCAAATGTTACATCAAGTATTTTACTCAACTCCAGCTGCATTTCCTAATACACCACTACCTACATTTAGACTTGCAGAGATTACTTATCTGCCTTCAGTATTAAAAATGGAAGCTCTCTATATGGTTAGTTCAATCACAAATGGATTGGGTAAATTGTAGAAGTAACTTCCCTATGAGAATAGAGCATGTTTCAGCACTGCACTGCAACTATAACAGCCTCATAGAATTTGCACACCTTAACAGGGCAGTAATTTCAAGCTTGATTCTGAACATAATATGCCTACTTTATTCTAATTTAAATAGAATTCTCTGCTTTTGCTTTTTATGCCTGTATTTTGACAGGTACCAACCCATTACCAAAGCAAAAAGAGAGACCTCTCAGCACTACAGTATTACTTTTTGAAGAGGTTAGCACTGCACTTGATACAGTCCTGAGCTACAGAAAGAGAAGATACAGATTCTGTGGTGCAGAAGTGTTCTAAGAAAAGCTCTTCTAGAGAATGAGAGAATAGCTCCTGTGGTTCCCTTGCCTGCTGCTGTGAATTGTACCAAGGGCACATTAACTTACATGCTATTTGCAGTTGCGAATTTTGCAGTTTGGAGAACAGCCTGGTGTATACAGAAATTAACTCATCAACACAGTTGTAATGGCAGTCCTGACCTACTGTATCTATAACCCAGAACTAATTTGATTGTTATATTTTTATTACCAACCTTACAATCTTGAGGTCCCTAACAGAAGAAATATCTTGTTCAATGGTACAAGTACCTTGAACAAATGTTCTTTTTCAATTATACATAGAAATCTACTAATTCTTTCATCATGCTCTACTTTTGAGAAATGGACTGAAGAACACTGCCAGTCTCCTTGTTCTTTGGAAGTGCTAAATCTCTGAAGCCCTAATCCTATGTCACTAAAGTAAACAGAAATTTTGTCATTGATCTGAATGACCAAAGAATCAGATCCTATGACAGATCTGGATGTTTAGAACCAAATATATATTCTCAATCAGATGTAAGGAATAAGAAAAAAAAAAAAGGAGGAAAAAAAACCCCACACTAATGGACTAATGGCAGGAATGTCATTAGTTGCTCTAACCTGCACTGTAGTTCCTCAGAGCTCTTGATTCAAGTCCATACATACATAATATCGTATCACTGATGACCTCCTGACCTGACAAAAGCCTCCCCAAGCTTCTATTTCCCCCCATCTTCTTTTACTTTATTAAAACAATTTACAATAAAAGCAGAACATTAACAAGGGGGGGGGGGGGGGGGGGGGAAATCACAGAAGGTGCTCCTGCATTACTAATGGGATAGTCCTCTATAAATCTAGGCATCTGGACATAGATTAGTATCTAGAAAGACACTAAAATACATACCGTCAGTGACAGGAAACATCAGATTGCCAACAACTGGAGAACAAAGGAACCTGGCACTGTAGCAAAAGATTGCTGCTATACAGTGGGCTATGATAAATGCTACTAATCCAATTTTGGGCTTATCAGGAGAGTACTAATTTTAATGCTCTCAGTCAGACAAAGGCAGAGGGGGGTTGTTAATCAGAACACAGTTTTCTGCAGCTACACTGAAAAAGGAAGAAAAGAATAACTGCAAATACAGCACTCCTGAATTGAGTTTGGAGAAAAGGTAAAACAGCATTACTTTTTCTTGGTTTACTTTGCTTCTTAAACGCATGAAGGCTTCAGTTTCACCTCTTCTGAATCCTAACCAGCTGACCAGTGTGCCTTGACAGCTGTTCCAATTTATTTATATTATGCCTCCTCTAATGTCACTGATGTTAGTGACCACACTGTCCCTTTGCAGAGTCCAGGTGGGGGAAGGGGAAGGAAGTAACAACATATTCAAGCACAGTTTTCTGTTCTTATCAGTACAGGTAATGGTCATTTTCTTCAACTGCCAGTTGCATTAGTTAGCTCTAACCTGACAAACTGAATGTCAAAAACTCCTTAAGTTCTTCAACATACAGGAAAGTCTTTTTAACTGAACAGCTACCAGGTTTTTCCTGTGGGTGGCATCACCACAGTGGATGTAGGCTAAGAGTACAGTGTGCAAAGTAATAAAATTTTGTTTGAACTGCCAATAATAAAGACTGATGTCTTCATTATAATTACCACAGCAGTATTCAGGAGTCTCCAGTAGGTCAGGAATCAGCAGACCACAAAAATCCCGACCACAAAACCACAAAGAGCCTGTAACCTACATACTAAGATCACAGAATTGCACTACATTTGCACCTTACTGCAGTATATCTTAGCCAGGCACATCTATGTGCCAATCCCACCTCCTGATAACCTCCTCTAAGGAGAGGGGCATGGAAACTTCTTTTCTCCTTTTGTTTTTTTTGGGCTGCACTTTGTAATCTCGGGAACTACCAGTGTTTTGTCTTTAGTCTTGGCATACAATGGCTCTGAATCCAGTATGTGGAAAAAAAACCTGTGTGCTTCAGTTCCTCACAAAACTTTGTGTGCCTGAGTTTCTAAGGAGCCACCAACCAAACCTAAGTACTTCTGAGCTCCTGGGAAGACCAAGAAGACTACGTTCTCTTTCACAACTGCATTCCCAACAGCTTTCTCCTCCAGACTGAGACCAGTAAGGTGGAACAACCTTAGTACTCTTTCTACAGCCAGCTAAACATGCTGCATCTGAGGCCTGAGCATCTGATGAGGGTGGTCTTTGGGGACAGAACAAAGTGAAGGCAGAGAAAAAGCAGTGTGGAGCACATCGAGGGAAGGAAGTACAAGGGACCCAGGCGCAACCCTGATGGACCAGTGCCTCCTCCCTCCTGCTTCTTGTCACACCTACAAGTTACTCCCTGGTGGCAGCATGACACAGATGGCAGGACAGGCACAGCACAGGATCAAAGGCTGTGGCTCAAGATAAGGTATATTCTTTGTATTGGTGGCACGCAGTTAGGGGGATGGCCAGAGGCACTATTCCTCCCTTGCCTTTTCTCCCAACCCAATTACCACAGCCCATCAACACCATTAAATCAAGTGGAGGCAAATGAATGCAGTCATTTATAGCAATACAAGACTTGCATTTGTAAAGGAGGTTCAGGTTTTCCAGCAAGACAAAAGGCAGACTGCAAGAGAAGGAAAACTGTTTTGCTGAAGGATTTTTGTGCTTGTAAAGGCCACAATAAATAGAGCAAGTGGTAGAGGGAAGCACTGATGACATCTGCAGCACAGATGGCTTCAGGAACCAAGCAGGTGTAAAGAGAAAGCCTTGGCACAGTAAGTGGTTACTTTAATTTGTGAGGGAAGGTGACTATACTGGAACTGGGATCAGTTGTATCTGTGTGGCTTCAGGTACATTTTAGGGGAGTGTGTCATGGGGGAATGAACAACATGGAGTGTTCTGTGCAGTTAGTCATATGGAGTAGGAATAATGCACAGGGATGCAAGGAAGACCAAATATCCACAAAAAGAGAGAACACACTCATCCCCTTTGATCTAAAGTTTGAGAACTGTTGTCCCTGACCTGCTGAGAACTTCCAGTGTTAACTCAAAATCATCACTTGTTCCCTAGGGACATGGCTGAACACAGCAGTTTAGGTTACTGAGGTCATCTAACACCTAAATCCTAGCCAGAATTAATAAAAATGATGCACAGTGATCTATTTTGCTAACTGTGCTTTTTCTATAAATTTCTAGTCACTATCTTATAACTACTGTTTTTCAGAACAAGGCATCTTTTTATGCCATCATAACTTTTTATAGCAGCGTCTGTGAGAGCAAGATATACTCAAAACTGTTTAGCCCCTTGCACAGAGTACTGTTGTACATTTCTATTCTTGAATTACTTACAAAACCTGTATCCTTCTCCAACAAACATTTCACAAAGGTGTATCAAACAGCATATCCTGTATACAGTACCTCAGACCCTGTATAGAAAAATCCTCCCAAGTAATAGAAGAACGATTACTAAGGAAGTTCCATGGAATTCCAGCTCTTCAGTCTAGAAAGGTGAAGAAAACTGCTGACCAGAAGAAAACAAGTTCATAAAGCATACACTTTCAGCTATACAAAGCAAGCCCCCTCATCAATGGGCATGATAGGGCAGCTCTTTCCTATGCAGTCTCTGAGAAAGCATGTCATACTTGTAATCCCAAGTAGTGCTAGAAATTCAGTTTATTAGAACCGCGACGCTTTAGGTGCCCATACACTTCAAACAGAATAAGAAAGTAAACAGAACTGCTCAAAAGTGATACCAATGTTAAACAAAACACACACTTCCAAACAGGAGAGCAGTATCTACCATCCTGAGTTGGGGGAAAAAGGGTAAACCAAATGTTTTATAGCCTAAAATAGCACTATGTCCTAACATAAATTCTAAGAAATTATTCTGATGTCAAACATGTCTTCAGCAGTATGAGTGGACAACAACTAAAGAATAAATTAACAAGTTAATGAAGGATATTATTTCTTGGACTACAAGCAACCACCATTAATCTCTAATAGTTACTGGAACAGCAACATGTGAAATGTCAATGTATCTGCTTAGGTTTGCTGAATTTTTGATCTGAAGGTTGCAAAGGCAAGACATTCTTGGATAAATATTGCAGTATGTCATAAAAGAAAATGTTTGTACACCTTCATTTACTCAAAGACACTATAAAATATCATATACATTAATTTACAGTGATTATTTATTATGTAGCATAGCATATTATTAAGCGACTGTGACACAGCTCTTCCTCCCCATAGATTAAGGATACACTCTTACTACCAAAGTTCATGTGGAAGAGCAAATCCTGCTCTCAACATTTTAAACAAAAAACAACCACTGAAAAAAACCCCAACCCCACAATACAAGAAAGCCCTCCCACCAACCTAAACACACCAAAGCCTAAAAGCATTTCTCCTCAGACAATAGGATTTATCACACATCTGAAACAAGTATTTATGTGAAATTCTTTTAGTGTGTAAATATAACGTTCTTTTGGCTAACCCTACTCTAGTGGAGCAGAGGAGAAAGTTTTAAGAATCTAGATATCGGAAAGCTCGAAGAAGTAAAACCTAATGTATTTTCCTGAATAGGCTGACTGTACTTCCTCCATATTGAATCAGTATCTTTATCTAACCATATAAAGGAAAATTGCAACCTACACACGAAAAATAAGTTAATAAACTACTTCCACTATAAGTTCTCCAAATATTTTAACTATATTTTAATCTCCTTTTCAAAGACAGTAATGAACAACTAGGAGACATGAAAATGACATTGTATGTATTACAGTTCAATTACTAAAAATCTTATGCAAACCAGTATTATTTTTTAATTTGACAACTCTGCCAATATCCTTATAAATGAGTCTGAATTTCTGTTTTCCACAAAAGGTATTGTGATTGCCCTTACATTCAAATACTGTGACAAGCAGTAACCATGATGCATGAAGCAGGACAAACAGTCAAATTGCTATACAAAGTTATGAGCATATTAACAGTAATGGTTTTGTTCCACTTAAATTGAGTGATACTGAAGTAAAGCAGACTCATAAATTAGAAACTATTTTCCTCTTAAAAAGCATCATTCCTCCCCCCCAAAACACATGAACAATCATGCAAACAGCGTAGTAAGAGAAATTCATTGCAGACTTACTGCAATAAAGCTCCAAGTGCTGCCTTACCAGTTTTGTAAGTATTCAGTAGTCTGACAACAAATAGTCCTCTATTTACTGATCCAAATCAGTTCTCAGAACTTACCAGGTTCTCTCTTTCAATTCTTTGCTGCTCCTTTTGCCTGTTGAGGGCACTGTGGTACAATTTAGGAGGTGGCAGAGATGGCTTCTTCAACGGGGTACTTCTCCTTGGCTTTGCAGACTGTCTGGACAGTTCTTTTAGCAACCTTTGGTTTTCCCGATCAATCTTTTTTACTTCTTCACTTGTGAAAGAATAATTTCTCCTTCTTCCTTTAGACGGGTGATTAATGTTCAGCTTCTGATCTTTTTTCTCCAATTGTAGGAAAGCTTTAAAATGGAATAAAATACTCAGGTTAAAAACCCAAACCAAGCACAAATATTGCATCCTATTATTGGAATTTATTTACAGACATGAAAAAAAACAAGCTATGTTTCACCTCCCTCCACCTGAATTCCAGATTTAGGCATTTCAGAATTTTTCAGTGATGTTCAGTTGTCTTCAGTACATTGATTTTAAAAAAGGTTCACCACAAAAATCAAGCCTCATTTTGGCCTTAGTTTAAATCCATCTGCTTCCTTCTCACCAGGAATCCCCCTCCTCCTCATTTATGACCAATAATAAAGAGCAATTGAACAGCTGCAGCAAATAATTGTGCAACACAAAGGAATATGCACACAGCTTGTATCTGTAAGCATCTGTGTGGAATCAGAATATAGATCAGCCTTATGTGCACAGTTGTTTCTTCTGCAGTCAGTATTCCTGATCCCTCCCTTCAACTCTAATCACTCCTGATCTCTACCTTTACCTGTATCCTTGCCCAACTTTTATACTGACACAACACGCTCAGACATCCATCCTCAAATGTTTCTACTTGAGTTACTATGGTACTGGCAATCAGCACAGGCAATTATATGCAAATGGGGCTACCATTATACTGAACTAAAGCAGCACTGAACAACCATCATCACAGGGCTATCATCTGAGGCACCTATATAGGCATCGGAGAAGTTTTCGAAGCCATAGAAAACACATCTCAAGAAGCCAGGACTACAAATAACCTTCAGAACCAAGAATTAAACCATAAATTAATAGTTAGATATTTGTACACGGAAAGAGATTTAAGTTTTGCTCCAAGGTTATCCAAAATATCTCTCATCTGAGAGATAGAACAGAAATGATGTTCCAGACAGGAAACATACTGGGGAAGCGACACTCAGAGATACAAAATGCATTTCTTGAAGTGATTTTGTTGATCCTTAGCTCCTACAGTGATCCTACATCATGTTGCTGCAGGAATTGTAAAGGGAAAGATGAAAATTAAATTTAATTGATGGAGAGAAATGAATGAGCATACATAAGACAAGAAAAATTACTGGGGCATGGCAATTTAAACCAGTAAAAAGCAAGGGATCAAGATATGAGGTTGCAAGATAAAAGAACAAAGAATGCACACTTAAAAATACACAGCAAAACAGGCCTGCACAACTGTAAAATAACATAAATGGAAAGCCTCACTCTCAGTCAGAGCCAGCTATGTTTATCATAGCTCCAGTGGAGCTTTGCTACTGACCTATTTCTAAGCCTTTGCTTCCTAAACCTCTGGAGGCCATCTTCTGGGAACTACTGTAAGCTTTCTGCTGTCATGATATCACCCTATCAAACCACTGCATTATCTGTGGCACAGGAATGGCGGTACCAGGTTAGATCAAACAAGATTTTTGGACCTCAGACACAGACAAGGAAGCCTTACTCAAGCCGTTCCCACATTCCTTCAATAGCACAGTGCCTCCAGGAGATACCACTCACTTTTATCCCTAGAAGCCCAACACAATTTAAAAAAGCATCCAAAGGAGAAGCTCTGAGAAAAGCAGAAATAAAGAACCAACCAACCAAAAAGCCACAACAAAGCAAACCCCTACAAACTAGGCATGCAGTAATACTTCCTCAACAAACACTTCCAGCATCAGCAATTTTTTGGCAAGGGATGTCTGTCTGAGGCAGCCTTTAATAGCTAAAAAACCTCAAAGAATGATGAGCGTGTTCTTACTTCAAAACAACATTAAAACTTTCATGCAGTATCTCAACTAGTTTATGCCAGAATTGATGCAAATATTGCTGATGTCTTGGTGATATTCAGAAACCGTATCAAGAATTCAAAATCCAAACAGTTAATGAATCTCGAAATCAGTAAACTTGCACCATCAGTACAGTAGACAATATAAGCAAGAAGTGTCCCTAGGCAGCTCTTAACTGTGAGGTTGTTCACTTTAGCAAATATAGTTTTCATTTGTCAAGAGAAAATGCAGATCACCTCAAAAGCAGACACACAGCAAACTAGTGCAGGTCAAGTGTGCCAACCAACAGGTTAATAAAGTAAAAATATCTTGAAAAGCATCTTTAAAATTCAGCAAGTTATTCATAAGGGAAGACTAGGACAGCCATCACCACCACTTGAGGAGACAAACCTGGGATGAGATTCATCTGGATACACCTACAAGGGACAAAAAAGAAATGCACAGAAAATAACTAGAGCCACACAATTCACATGATAACATCAAGCTGCAATGTGTTTCTCAGTACAAAATAATTATGTCCTTATGGGAACATGCAAAACCAGCACTGCAGAACACAGCTGGTAGAAAGTAATTTGAACAACCATTTGAGGAAGGCACTTACTATACATCACGTTACATAATTGATAACTGTATTATCACAAAGCTATGAAAGACAATTTCATCTTTTGCCTTACATCCATAGTATCTCACAGGTTAAACAAGAATGCACATCAGATGCAAGGCTGTGGCAAAGAACAGTTGTTCAGCTGAAGTCTTGGCCTACCTTTCTGGCACCAATGCTGCTGGTGAGGCAGTCTTTTACAAAAGACATTTAAGCTTCAGAATAACTGTCAGTGCAAATTCCAAACAGCTCTTTTTTTCTGTGAAAGGTGTGAGCTAGTTAAATTCCATTTAAGGCAATGGCATTCTGAATGAGGACATTTTTAATTAGAAATATAGGTTTCGTGTTTTCACTGGTATATCACTGTTTTAATTCTGTATAAGGTAGCTGGAGAATGTATACTCATATGATGCAGTTAAGAACTATAATCAGTGAACAGACCAGAAACAGATAAATAAGCATCGAGATAATTATCTTCTGATTTGCTCATTTTTTTCTGGAAAAACCCTTATCAGCTGTGATTAAAAAAACAAACCAAACCAAACCCAAACAAAAATCAGAATAATGGCATGGAACAAACATTTCCTGCAATGCTGGACAGTAAATGCTTTCAGAAATAATGAAACAATGAACCCTGCAGCGATAGCTACACTGTGTTGTCACTCAGCTCTCCAGAAGGCAGTGGTACGCAACTTCTGCAGCACTAAATACCACCAGGATTTTACCAGAAGCTCTCAACTAGTGTGAATGCAAATCTATATACATTGCTACCCATTGCTCTACCAGATGCTACTACTTATATATATGCAAATATATATAAAATTTTACTAACTTTACTCTCGCATTTCAGCTTCACCACTCACATTCCCTCAACACACAGGCTTTTTTCATTCCTCTTTCTTTCTCCTTTCCTTAGCCTCTCACAAGACTTTTTTCTTTCAACATATTTTCCTTTTACTGTGCCTCATCCAAACCTTTTACCCTCTCCACAAAGACAGCTTTTCTCATTTGCGGAAGGCAGAAAAGAGACTCCAGCCTACTTTCTTCATTATGCTGTTCATTTTTAGCCTCACTAATTTATACTTACATAGTGTAGAAACCGACTTTACTGCTACCAACAGCTTTTTAACAACTCTTGAGGTTAAGGATTTGCTAAAAGTGATAATACTGGATTTATCACAACTCAAAAGAAACATTATTAGTAAGTGAAAGAATTGTTAAAATCACAGTGAAGATTCTGCTGTGAAGTTTGTCCTGGGTTCAGCAGTAGCAGTCATGTTTCTCCTTCTTGGTAGCTGGTGCAGTGCAGTGTTTTGACTTCCAGCCTGGGAACAGAGCTGATAGCGATGTTTTGGTTTGGCCAAGGACTTTGTGAGCCTCATGCTCTGCCAGGGAGGAGGGGAAGCCAGGAGGAAGCAGAGACAGGACACCTGACCCAAACTGGCCAAAGAGGTATTCTATACCACAGCACATCATGCCCAGGATGTAACTGGGCGTTAGCCGGAAGGGCTGGGAGACTGCAGGGTTGGAGGAGGTATGGGTTGGTGCTTGGTCGGGCCGGGGCGGGGGGCAAGTTATCGGTCGGCTGGTGGTGAGGTGTTGTATTCTCTTCCCTTGCTATTTCCTTTATCACTGTTATTACTGGTGGGAGCAGCAGTGATCTCTGTTATACCTTAGTTACTAAACTGTTCTTATCTCAACCTGTGGGAGTTGCATTCTTTTCGATTCTCCTCTCCATCCCTCTGGGAGTAGGGGGAGGGAAAGAAGGGCAGAAGTGAGCGAACAAGCCCTCTGCCTGGTTTTAAACCACAAGTTATTCAGTGAAGCCTCTCCAGAAGACTTCCAAAAACCAGTGCCTAATCTCTGTTGAATTACAGAAGAGCATTAAATTTGCACTAAAAGTTCGGACCAAATACAACATGTGCAGCAGCAAGTTTTCTTTAAGGGGACAGAGTTAAAAAAAAAAAAAAAAAAAATCAATCTGAACTCTGAAACTCTCTAGTTCCTCACTAATTTCATCAGTTCCTCAACAGATCTTTTTATAGTTAGCCTGCTGTATGACTTAAAAGCCACATGGGAAATATCACAAGTAGTTCTTTGCAGCAACAGCGATGCAGTACACCAAGGCACTGGGTCAGATAACATATTTAATGTAGTTGATTTGTTGTTCTCCAATCTGATTAAGTTAATAAAATGGAGTTGTGTTCTACTTAGTTCAGATCTATGTTAAAGAAGAATTTAAGCTGCAAACTCCACTTTAAGACAAATAGTAACCATCTGAAGCCTATCCATAGATAATCTTTTCCAAACCGCAGCAAATGCAACACTGGCCTCCTTAGCAACCGTGTGACAGAAGAGTTTAAAGTTTAGTACAAAAGAGACAAGCAATAGAATGCATACTGTATCACTTACTGAAAGAGGATAACTAATACTACAGGATAAATGCCTGTTCTGAACAACAAAAAAAAAAAAAAATCAGAAGGGGGGCATCCATGAAATCACTACTCCTTATACAATGCTCAAATAAACCACAGCAGTAGTCTAATGAAGCAGTGAGCAAAAGGTCCTGCAGGTCTTCCTGAAGCAGTGGTGACACTATTTCCACAGTCCAGCATGACCACAGAACTTCACATCCACAGTAAGTTTCCAG